GCCCTTTGGAAGAAAGTAATCCCAAGCCTACCTCTCGACTTTTATAAATCTACTTTCAGTTTATTGTTGGGCTTTCCTTAAAATGAGGCCTGCATAATTCGGCGGGCCCTTCATTATACAACTCGGAGAAGCGGAAGGAGTACATCACTTGCCTGAATGAGACAAATATAGCGCTTTCGCCACTTTTTGAAAGCGTTACGTCCAACAGCGTAGCAGTAGCCGCAGTACTTCAGGTTGCTGGGTTTGTCCATCCGGATGGTGAGTTGAATCCTCAAGTCATCGGGACAGTTTCGAGACGTCTGCATCTTATACCATTCTGGAGCTCGACTCCCCGTACATGTGGGATTAAGAACAACCTTGCAAAAAACCGAGACAACAAAATATCGTACCGGTGTGAGAGCTAAGCGCCGACTGAAAAAATACTTGCTTCCCTTCATCAGAACTCAACTTTTCACTGAATGTTTTATGAATTTTTGAAATAAATTATAATAAAAAATTGAAACCCAGATTGAAGTGAAACGTCTGTGTGTGCTACACAAATCGCCTTGTTGAAAAGTAAAAGATCTACTTTACGTGGCAGTGGTCACTGGTATTATCAAGGTTTTGATAATATCATGGAAACAACTAGAATTTGGCCATTTAGGCGTGTTGTTTTCCTGAATTATGTGTGTTTTGAGTTCATTAACTACAACTTTAATTGTTCCACTGGAAGACGCTGCTTTGCCAGCTTGACCAGATCGTTGTCGTTGCCAGTAGCAGAAGTTAATTTGGTAGTCCAGGGAATGAACCCTTCAAGACTTTTTTAAAAGAAGTCCTGAAGGGTTCATTTAATAGCTCATGATATTTTGCGATGTTGCAGACGAAGTAGCACCATTTCATAAGCAACTTTTGGGAAATTCTTTACAAACAACCGTGAGGAAGAGAAATTGACCGCAGAACGTCAAAGTGTGATTTAGGAGGAAGACGCCTGAACTTTTTGCTAAACATGTGGTTACTTTTGCTGCCAAAAAAATAAATCAACTTTGCGTATCATCGCAAACTCTGATGTGAACATGGCTGGCCCTGAAGCCTTCTTCTGTGAGCGCGAATGCTGCAAATAGGTTGGATAGGTGTGAAGACACATTTGCTTGCTCATAATGGTTTCTCTGTGCTTAAATTCTTACGAATTTTTTTAAAAGTTTTGAAAAGGTTACGTTTGATCAGATACCCTACAGTTGCATGGAAGCATTGCCACTCAGATGTAGTAGTAGTAGTAGTTGTTGGGAATCGCATCCGTCCCTATTGAACTAACTGATCTCACCCTAAGTGTTTAGCGTCAAAATTAAGGCATCTTAAATACATCAAGACTTAAATTCTTATGTTTCATTCAAAAATGGGTGGTCATGGTAACTTCAGACGCATTGTAGGCA